CCAGAAATTGGGTAAGTGTTTTATGCAATTTTTAATTAGAAATAAGTAGCTAAGGATAGTTTAAGTTGTAGCAAAACTACGCGGTTATAAGTTTAAATTGTGATTCTTTAAAGATTTTACTTAACTATAATATATATTAGCGTAAATAATGTTTGTATCATATTGCTATTCACGAAATCAACTATCTTTGATTTTTGTTAAAATGAGTTCGCAATATTATAATCTTTTAGTCCTCAAATTTTTGTATTGTGTTATGTGTTGTGTAAAATACTACGTGTCCATAATGTATGATTTCCGTTGCGTGAAGGGTTGTAAATAATGTTGTCGGATCCACTCCTAATACATTTTCCGACGGCTGTTAAAGTCAAAGTGCGGCTGCGTTCCAGGGTCCCTGCACCTTCCTTGCTACACAGCTTCTGTAGCTTATGCCGCGTTGCTGGCGCAAAGTTGTGGCTGGAGGATCGTCTGCCTTTTGCCTGCGGACCCCGAACACCCTACTCGCTTGCCTGTTGCTGCTGAGCTAGTGTATGGACTTATCGCTACGGGAGCTACAGGAAAGTGCCTTAAGAGAACTTTGGTGCATACTCGGTGGCTAGGGTGAACACACGACCCATCTATTTTTCTATATTTTATTTGTATTAATTTTTTTCACTTGTTTAAATGATTGTTAGTTTTAGTTATATATTAATAGTTTGTTTTTTTTATTATTTCTATTTTTTTTAATTAAATAGTTTTGTTACCGTTTGTTGAGCTAGTTATTAATTTAATCTACTCGAAACCTACGTTTCAAGAGTCAGCAGGTCTTTCTCTCCAAATCCTTCGAACCCTATCACGTAACAACTGATGTCAGAAGTGGGGTTTGGAGATGCCATTGACTCCGAGAGAGGACTTCAAGGAGGGCGTCAGGACAAGGGCTCGAGCTGCGGAGGCCACACCCACTGGGTACCAAGTCCCGCCCACTGGCCTCACCTACCAGACCACGCCCACTGACCACACCCCGCCCGCTCAGGCCCCGCTCAGTTTGACTCAAGCCACACCCATTTTGGCACAGGCCCCGCCCACTCCGGCTCAGGCCGGCCACTTTGGTTCAAGCCCCGCCCACTGACTCCACCCCACCGGGAAAACCGGCCTACATTGAACTACAGAAGAAAGTAGTGCGCCTTGAAACCACGGGAGTCGCGATGCCTAGTGGAACTACCGGAGTGGCAGAAGGACCAAGAGTGAAAGTGCCGCCATACGACGGCACTACTTCCTGGCACGCTTATCGTCGGCAATTCCAGACTGTTGCTACTGCCAACGGGTGGACGGAAGAGCAATGCCTGACCGCTCTCACCGTTGCGCTTAGAGGGCAAGCTTTGTCGGTCCTGGAAGCACTGCCACATACAGAAAATGGGTTCCAAGACCTGATGGAGGCACTTGAATCCAGGTACGGGGAGCGACACCTGGAGCACGTGTTCCGTGCCCAACTGCGTGACCGAGTCCAACGTTCAGGAGAAGGACTACAACAATGGGCGTTGGAAATTGAAAAATTCGTCAGGAAGGCTCACCAAGATGGTAGACACGAATATTGTTCAAGCATTTGTGGACGGAATCAAAGACCTGGAGGTCAGAGCTGCAGTGAGGCTCCGTCACCATACCTCGCTAAAGGTGGCATTGGCGCACGCTTTGGAGGTCGAGGCTGTTCACCATGGCATACGACAGACCCATAAGATCCGCGAGGTCTTTGAGGAAGTGAAGGAGGTTAAGGCTCATACGAAGAGAATTCTGGACCCATGTGCTACAAGTGCGGCGAGAGGGGCCATCTTCAGCTCAACTGCCCGCAGAAGGAGACCCAGATGGAAAGGATGAAAAGGATTGAGGAACAAATAGAGGAGCTGAAGAAGCAAGGTGCTTCAGGGAAACGAATAAAAGCCAGTACAAAGTGGCGAGTTCTGGCTGACGCGGAGGAAGCCCCAGCAAACAGCAACAACTACGGATCAGTGACTGAGCCACTCGATGACTTCAAGACGGAACACCGCAGCCGAAAGACGCATGGGAATGCCGACGCACTCTCCCAAAAGCCGTGTTCGGAAGACTGCAAACATTGTGTTAAGCAGGAATCTAATGAATAAACATTAAAGCTAACAAGAACAAGTCCTTTGGGTCTCTGGGAGAATGATGCTATGACATACATCATCACATGGAAGAAGCGGAGCGATGTAAAACCAAACTGGAGTGAGGTTGCACCCACTGGCGCCGTCTTTAAGGCGTACTGGGCGCAATGGGACAGTCTGATACTTCAAAACGGAATACTCTACCGGAAATGGGAGAAGACTAACGGCAGAGAGTTCCATCTTCAGATAATTGTCCCGAGAACGAGAGTACCAGATATTCTCCGTGAAATACATGATGGCGTATCAGGAGGTCATCTAGGTGTCCAGAGGACGTTAAAAAAAGTGCGAGAACGATTCTACTGGTTGCATTGTCGAGATGATGTACAGGATTGGTGCCGCAACTGTACTGCTTGCGCTGCTGTAAAAGGACCACAGACCAGAAGCCAAGCGAACCTGCGGTTGTATAACGTTGGTGCACCGTGGGAACGAATTGCAGTTGACGTAGTTGGGCCATTTCCTGTAACGGAGTCGGGAAACAAGTATTTTATGGTCGTCATGGACTACTTCACCAAATGGCCCGAAGTGTTCGCCATACCAAACCAAGAAGCTACAACAGTCGCTTCTAAGTTAGTCGAAGAAGTGATATGTCGCTTTGGTGTGCCTCTAGAAATCCATTCCGATCAGGGCAGGAACTTTGAATCGCAAGTATTCCAGGAAGTGTGCAGAATTTTGGGCATGCATAAGACAAGGACCACCGCGTACCATCCACAGTCTGATGGAATGGTTGAGAGATTTAACCAGACCCTTGAGAGGCATTTGACGAAATTGGTAGACGACAAACAAAAGGATTGGGACAAGTATATACCACTCTTCCTTCTGTCGTACCGAACCGCCGAGCACGAGAGCATAAAAGCTACCCCGGCATATGTCAACTACGGTAGAGAACTTCGAATGCCAGTAGACCTACTGACAGGAGGGTCACCGGAGGGACCAAAGACCGTACAAGACTATTTCTGCGATTTAAGGGAAAAATGTGCTATATACACGCCTTGGTTCGGGAAAATGGGTTACAGTCAAGTGAGAACATGAAAACCAGATACGACCGGAAATCGAACACGGACGGCTTCGAGGAAGGGTCACTGGTGTGGCTGCTTAACCCAACTCGTCGGAAAGGGAAATCCCCAAAGTTGCAGACCAAGTGGGACGGTCCATACAAAGTGGTTACCCGACTGCATGATGTGACTTATAGGATTCAAAAGCAACCAAGAGGGACATTCAAAGTGGTACACATAGACCGTCTGGCGCGTTACCATGGCAGCAACAACGACGCTCGGGACGAGCATGTCTAAGAGGGGAGTAGTGTTATGAACACACAAAGAAACTAGCGCCATCTAGCGTCAACCAGTAAAACCACTCAACGAACAAAGACAAAATAAAACCCTCTACTCAATACTAGATGGCGTTAGAGGAATTACTGTGGAACTATAGTCTCGAAAATCGGGTACATTCGCGAACTTTCCAGAATCACGATCATGTTCACGCGTGTCAGGTACGTTCCAGGAAGGAACTTTCTGAATTAGTCTGGGACTCGTCTCGGCCCATATAAAAAGCCGCAGGTAGGCGAGCGAGTTCAGTTCAGTTTGAGCTATCTTCGAGGCGACTTCGGAGTGAAAACTAGTGATCAAGAGCGTTACCAGTGAAACCTACGACTTGGCTACAACCTAGGACATCGTTAGTGCTTAGTATTTGGACCTAGTGCTTTGTGTTGGACCTAGTGCCAGCGAATAAAGTATCTCAAAGAGTCAGCAGGTCTTTCTCTCCAAATCCTTCGAACCCTAACACGTAACAATATGATTTGTAACCTTTCCAAATGAACTTTACATTAAAGTTTTATACGTAAGGGTGTTCTAAAATTCTTTGTTTTGCAAAATTTGATAACTCGATAAATATTGATGTTTAAAGAATGTAAATCTTTAATACAATTTTTAAAAAGTTATCCTCTATATGTGTGTTCATTTATCGACGCGATGGTAAAGACACGCTGTACGAGTATACCGTATCTTTTCTAAGTGTATCCATTTTTTTTATTAAATTTTAGACATAAATAATGTTATATAAAAATAATAAATATTTAAAATCACTCGTAATTAATTAATTACATTCATTTGAACTTATCTCAAAAAGTGCGTGATATATGGGCAACTCATTTCATATCTAACACGCACACAAGTACGTTTCAAAAATATACCATGCATAAGTATATGCCCCTGTATAAGAAAGGCTCCACGAAGCCAATGATTTATAGGTATATTATTTAAACTTTTATGTCATCATTTATGAAAACGGAGATTGGGAAAAATATAGACAATTAACAAAAGTATAACTTTTGAAAAATTGGCTTAATAATTTTTTTTCAACGGGGATTTATTCTTTCAAGTTTTTAGATGATACCTTAATTTTTTTAATTTTTATATTAATATTTGTTATTATAAAAAAAATATTTTATGTGGTACCCTGTCTCTAGCGGCAGTGCGCCCATATCGTAACGGCCGCGCGGATCCCTATTTTCGGCGTTAAATTAAAATTATAAATACCTAATAGAGGTAGAGTTCATAAGGTAGGACTTTTTTATTGGAAATTATATAGTCTTTAAGGATTTTTCAGAATTTCAAAAATGATATTAGTTTTGGAGTTATTAACGAAAAACTAAATGCCATTTTTTTTCATCTTAATTTGTTAATAACAATAGCAATTTTTTGCGTGCTAATGCATCCTCGAGATACATTTTTCTAGACGTCGAATTGATGTAGTCAAGCATTAATTACATTGCTATTCGGTTACAAATAAAATAACGATAATTTTTGGTGCATATTAAGTATTTATTTGAAAAGAAAACTTAAAATCCTAATTATCACAAATTACTTCGGTTTCATTTGTCACTGGTATGATATTGTTCTCTATCTGTTTGCACTTTTCTTCTATATTTATGTGGTCTTTACAAAAAATTATTAACCTCTGGCATGCTTCACGAAGAATTTCTTCGGGCACTGTCAATACGATTCGCATATAATTTGGGTACTCAAAGCACTGAAAGGAAGAGAGTTACAGTTATTTTTATCTTGCATTTTACTGTGATTGTATTAATGTGATTTAAATTTTATTGAAACATTAATTCTAAGCAATTGGTTCCCATAACGCAATAAAGCAGCGGTGGCCAAACTTTTTCAAGTGAGTAATGAAATTTTTACAGCTCGGTGGGCAGGAAATGCTTTTATTTAAACAATTAAAATCAAGAAAACAAAATTTACATATTTCTTACTTTAAAACTATTTTAATATGGAACCCAAAAGTTTAATTAAGTTAAAAAAATGGAATTTTAAAACAGTATTTGGAAAATCTTGCAGCGGGCGCATAACAGATGAACCACACTGAGGTTGACCACCACAGCGGTAAAGCAACATCTTTCTAGTTTCGGAGTGAGCGCTTAGAGTTTTAACCAAAAGTCGACTGAAATTTCGACCTTGCCGAAACCTGATCTAGGTAATTTGTGGCTCTTTGTGGTTCGGCTATCTTCGCGTAAGTTGGTGATGCACGTGAATACTTTTGTTCGTCTTAATTTGTTAATTTAAGAAAAAAAGCCTATCTCTTTTTATCAATTTTGATATCATCCGCTTAGTTATTTTGCCTCTAGGCTCTAGTCTTCTGGGCCCAAACGCTCTTGATTCTAAAGGAGGAGCATTTGACAGAAAAAGCTGATGTGAATCCCAACAGCGCCGAAATTTTTTGACAGTTTATTAATTACACTTACATATTTTAAAGTACATGTTGAGTGTACATTAACTAATACCAAAGTTTAAAGTAAAAAAAGATGTAAAAATATAATCCTAAATAGTACCATTAAGTTATTAAAGTATAATTATAAAAATTTAAGCATGTCGTCGTTTTGGTTTCGTTTAAAACCAGAAGTTACCTTACATGTGTAGGGACCCCTTGATTAGATGGTAATTAATTTTCAATGCGCTTGGTGTCAGCGTTTCATGTTTGTCAAACTTTCAAGTTCTTCCTAGTGCGAGGGACGTTTTTTTTTTTAAATGAACAAAAATAATTTTCACAATCGGTAGAGTATGTATAACACTTATTATAATTTATTTCTGTTCAAAATTTCATTATCCGGAAATGGGATTCCATTGGAAAATGGAATGTATTACTTACCCGGCCAGGTAAGCAAAACACCGACTGCTCTGATACCATTGTTTCCACAAATTGTAACTCGTTTTTAAATTCAGGAAAGAGCGATATTTTTATTTCCACCATCATGTACATTGCTCCTTGCGGCATGATGGGGCGTAAACCTGGTGCTCGGCGTAACTCCTCGTAAGCCAGTTTAGCTTGGCTCTAATAATAAGATAGGAAATATTAAGAATTATAAAGTTAAAAAAATCATTGTGTTCGCGATACGCAGCAACTTTTGCTGTAGCTCGAATGAGCTGGCACGTCCCAGGAAGCACCATGGCTTTACAGATGGCTGGCGTGAAGTGGAAGTATTATTCTTTTGCTTGTCATCCAGTAACCGGGGCCCACTTTCTTAATAGTTGACACCGCATGTGCAAGCCGTCAAGAATTCTAGATGTGCCTGAGTAGCGGTAATCACTGATGATCAACTGAACCGCGTAGTCGCTTGCCAACTTCTCACATAACAAAGAAAAATAGTAGATACGAACCCCACTACGATTTTAAAGAACATTTGGGACTATCGATAAATATTATATTACATTTACCATTTATTTCTATAATATAGTTTGAACTCGCAAATATGATGAGATCCACGTAACTTTGCCAAACGTCGACTGTATATTATGACTTGATATTTTTACCATTTCAACAAAAAGTATTTTAATTTAGAATCATACTGAACTTATGGCTGCTTAATAGAAGTAAGTCATATCTCCACACGCATAATTTTTATAGAAATACAAACCGATCCTAACATCTTATTTGTAGTCAATAGTTAATAATTTTAAGTTTTTGCTATAGTTTTTAATTGTAAAAAAAAAAAATGTAAGAAGCCACAAATGTTCTTTTGTATACCGGTATAGGTGCATTTCGTCCAAGAAATCTTCAACTCACCTCAATAAAGAGTACCACATCATCGAAGAAACTCTGTGGGGTATATCTTAGTATTGCTGGCAGTGCCCGTTGTATCAACGTGCTAGGACCTAGTATCCTAGATGATATATTTGCTAAACCTTTGCGCACCTCTTTACCTAATATATTATTTCTATCGTGTATTATCACCCATCCCATTCGCCATCCGGGTACTAAAAATCTCTTCGTGAGTCCACTACAGGTTAAAACTGGTACCTCTCTAGATAAAGATGAAATTGCCGTAAATTCATTACCGGAAAATACGAAGTGTTCATATATTTCATCAGCTATAATCGGCACTCGATTTCTAGAAGCTATGTCTAATATTTCATTTAAATGTTCTTTGTTGTATACAGAGCCACATGGATTCGATGGGTTTATCACAACTATTGCTGCAGTGTCCTCGTCGATCTGATTCTCTAAGTCGTCCAAATCAACCTTCCACTGCTCATCTGGCTGCAAATCGGTACAGTAAACTTAATACGTACACATTTCTTTTGTTCCCTTTTATCGTTTCTACGTAAGAAGCAAGGTTTTACCTAGTTTTATAATGGATAAGCAATATGCAAATATAGGCCACAATAAACTTGAAACTTGTTCTGTTTCTAGAAACTTGTTCATCGCTTTACGCATTCTATAGCTTTACGAATACAGTTTACTAGGCGTCCGCCATATTACAAGAAGTTTCGAAAACTATTCCACAAAATAAATTATACATTTAGACCGTTTTGTATGTTTCATATAAAATATAATATATTATGTAATGTACCATATGAAAACAAGGCATGATCACATCCCAAAAACATAAACAAAACAACTTTGTTGCTGTTCTATACAAATAAACAACTGTGTTTACATTTGTTATAATGAATGAATATTAAAACACGTTTTATAATAATTATGTTTATGGATACGGATACCTAGCAATCAAAGAAAATCAATATATTTTGATCCGATACGATATCATTGTCGTATGAAAATTTAGGCCAATTGTGTCAGCTATTTCCAAGGTCTTATTAAATCTTTTTATATCATAATTATATATGTGTATGGGAAAGTTTTAATGATAGATTTTATAAAGATTTCTTACCAACAATCTATAATATTTTATAACTATTCCTAAACCTTCTGCGAGGGTTTTATATATCATAAATCCCGGCCTAGGCACAATGATGTTTTGACCGGAGTCAGCGAGGACTGAAATAACCAGCTCTATTGCGTGTGAACAACCACTGCAAAGTATGACATCTTCTGGAGTTATGTCGCCTTGGTGGGCACTGTATTCGACTACTGCCTCTCTTGCTTCCTGGTGGCCTTTTGCGGGACCATAGCCACGGCTCGTATGTAATTCAACACTTTCTCGCACTGCTTGTATGACTTGTTCCGGGGGATTGAGATTGCCAAAAGTTGTTGGATCACCTATTTCAACCAGATACATATTTATTGATAGAGTATCCTGTTAAGTACAGGAATTATATTCAGAATGCCTTTTAATGCTTACATTAACAAAACCAAATAATCGTAATAAGATATTATTTAAAATTACTACATTTATTTAGGGTTTCTGTTAGTTTACCAATATGATTTAGATATTTTACAGAAAGGAAACGATTCTATTAATAGTTTTTAAAATGCAAGTTAAATGATTTTTTATGTGATGATAACGCATTGATCGTTCTTTTTGTTGTTCTAAACAGAAATTTTGTTATACCTAATAACAATACTTTATTATGAAGATATCTATATGTTAACGATGTCATATTTTTTATTTCCACTTGTACATTAATATATGTGTATCTTTTATAGAGATATTTATTACTTACAAATACTTAACGATAAATTGTAATAAGAGAATATAAATAAAAAAAGATATTAACATTTTGTAACATATTATATTTAATATAATGTTTTTTAACATTATTGCAGTACTAAGTACGTTTCATTGTCGAAACACTAGAGACGGAAACATCTAAACTTTCTACGCGTTTCTACATGAGTGTTGTCTATTGCAATCGAAAACAAGTTTAGTCTGCAAAATAAACAAGTTAAATGCGTATAATTCAACACAGATAAACACAAATATTTAGTACAATGCTGAAATAAATAACCACATGGCAGAAATTGCACCTTAAAGACGTTATAAATAATAAAGGTGACGCCCCTTTACAAAAAAAATATTAACACAAAAAATATTCTGGCTTATTTTTTAATTATAATATGTTGAAATCTAAATCCTGTTTACCTTGACTTAATTGCCAGTTCATATTTAAATATTGATCCTGTTCAATAAATAAATATAGAAGTCGTAAAAAAAACTGTGAGTGATAGATGGATGAAGATGTTGAAAGCTACTGCGTAGTTAGATATAATTTTGTGATAAAATATTCTAAATTTTTGCGTACTAATGGTCTTCGACATAATTATTACTATTTACAAAGATTTTTATTGAGTACATAAATAATAATAATAAATATTTTAGGTGTTCACATACATTCTCTAGTCCCAAACTTATGGATACTAGATAACTGATAAGCATACTTAAACATATCTTCTTTTTTAAATAAATACATAATTATTATACATATATAGACACCCAGACACAAGAAAAACACAATATTTTATCGGTAGTGGGGATCGAATCCACAACCTCTAGCACAGGTGGCAGGTTTTATTGAGTAATATATTAAATATTAAAATAAAATTATCTTTTTTTAAAAAATCTTAAATATTTCAACAAGTTTACTGTTAATTGTAGTCAATATATATATAGCTGGAATGAACGTACATTCTCCATTTCACCGTTATTTAAAAACCCTCACAGGAAACTTAGCAAATCACTTTTTACAGACTCACCGACTGAGAGGGCAATAAAAGGCTTGCTCGGATTGGGCTCTACTTGGAGATTCTCCACGATACTCCTGATCAGGTTATGGGTATTGCGAGCCAACGTCGAAGCGCGCACATCCCATTCCCGATTTCGTCGTTCACGTTGCGACATGGACACACAAGGCTTCGGGATATTGAATGATGTGTCAATACCTAAACTTCAATCGAGAGTAGTGCTCGCCTTTAGATACGCCTCAGTTTTGTACGGAAACTGGTGTTGGACGATCACGGGCTCTCAGCTCGCGAAACAGGTTTGAAAATGTATATGAGATGACGACAGTGGTGTAACTTATTAATACATTCCACCCTTGCGAATAACACCGCTTACGTCGTATTTATCAAATTAAAAAACGTCACGTAATTTATTGGAGAACTTAAGAATAATAGAAAAAATAAATGCCTAAAATACTATACTTGCGTTTCCTCGCAATAAGTATATTTCCGCACCAGCTCATGAAAAGTTCCTTGATTAGCTTCCAAAAGCTTTTTACTCTTTTCGTCGATTTTCGCAATTAATCAATGCCGATAGAACCCAAATCGTACAACTAAAGTCTGTATTCATAAAACATGATTAGATATCGAAGCTGATAATTACAAACATAATATGTGTATACATAAAAGTGAGTGTAGAATAGTCATAAAGTATATATAGGCCAAGCGTTAGAAAATTGGTAGTAGATAGTATGTCGTTGGTACTAAGGAGTAATTTTACATTGACTAAATCAATCAAATAGCTTTAAGTTTAAACAAGTTTTTTACTTAATATCCTTATATTCACTATTTCATAGTAATTTTTAGTTATATGTCTTTGGTTAAATATACACATTTATTTAGATATTTTGGACAAAAATTCGTTAAGTTAAATAGTTGACAATAAAATTCATTAATAAATTTTGTATCTGACAGAATAACACCAACATGGGGTGTCAAGATTTGGGAAAATTTACCAGCAAATATGTAGTCAGAAATAAAAATTACCCATCTATGTGTTATATACATTGACATATTAAAAATGATCACCTCATAACATTTAAGAAAGTATACGTCGCAATTTCATGTCTTCCCGTTGCGCATTGGCAGACTGAAAATATCTCTATAACAAAAAGGTTACCACGATATTTTCTACCATGACCATAACATCGGCATTATCGCTGTCCATGGACCTTCGCAACTCTGGTAAGGTTGTAAGTGTTTTGCCAAGCTTTAAGGTCCTCATTCACAAACCATACGTAAAAGTATAAATAAGGAATAAGGACCCTTACTTTAAGACGATCTTTCGCGAGGCCGTGACACTTCCCCATTCGAGCAGAATGCATAATTGTACGGCGGGCATACTGAAAGCTCTTACAAAATCATAAAACTGCGATGTAGAATGTTACCAATACTTTTATTGTTGTTCGAAGTTCAATCCTCTCTATGCATCTTCGCATTCGACTGAACCAAGCAATGATATCAGGGTCCTGAAGGGTCCTTTCTAAGGCATAAGAGTTAAAATTTGTAGAAATAATGAAAGAAAAAGTTTCTCGCCGCTGTGCGAATCGAACCCACGTTTTCGGGATTCGCGCCCTGACCCTCTAACTACTAAGCTAAACGGCTTATTGCCATACAGACGAAATTCTTAACGTCCTTTATCTATATTGTAATTTTAGCATTTTAAGCAATGCTTGGCGCATCCATTGTTATATCCTTTCCAGCATACAAACAATTTCGAAAATCGTGTTATAACGATAACGATTTTTAGAAATTAAATTTTTTTATAGTGCTAATCTCTGCACTTAAGATTTAAACATTAAACTGATTGCCAAGCATTACTTCAAATGCTTAAATTACAATGTAGATAAAGGACGTTAAGAATTTCGTCGGTGTAGCAATCAGCCGTTTAGCTTAGTGGCTAGAGCGTCAGGGCGCGAATCCCGAAGACGTGGGACCATTTCCACAGCGGCGAGAAACTTTCGTTTATTTTTTCTATAACTTTTAATGTTTAAATCTTAAGTGCATAGATTAGCACTATAAAAAAATTAATTTCTAAAAAGAATAAGAGTTTTTATATCCGTTAAACTTAAGCTCCGTTAAACATTTCGCGATACCAAAGGTCTTCAGTCAAAGTATGACTCAAACCAATGCCTGAGCTTGCCTGAATCTGCTCGTAAGTCACTCTCTTATCTTTCTCTATTAAACTTCGCACAGCACTGATGTTATCTTCAGATGTCACTGTTGAAGGACATCCCTCACGCATTTCAACATTGAAATTGCTACGCCGACGCTTAAACTCATTAAATAAATTGTAAACAGTGGCACGGGGTGGGGTTTCTTTAATAAATGTCAATCGAAGTCTATTATAGGTTTGTTGTTGAGTAAGACACTTCGAAAGTCCTAATAAAATATCATGGACCGAATATTTTTTATCTAAATACATTTGTAAGTTTTTTAATCTTGAACTTAATGTAGCCTCGAAAATTTTCGTCCCCCAAAGACCCCAGGAGATAAATAGAGTAATTTAAAATACGACACAGAATGGGAAGGACTATATCAATAATGGGGGAAATTATTTTTTTTGCTAACACAGTCGTTGCAAAGCGTTTGAAATTATTAAAAGAACAAATTGATAAAATCACAAGCATATAATTGATAAAAATATAAAGTGTTGTAAGTCTGGGTCTGGATTTTTGACCGTTCGGTTAGATCTTTTTATTACCTACAACTTTGCCGGAAATTGAGGAAAAACCCCCCACGCTTCCCGAACTCAGCTTGCCCGTAATTTATTTTTCCTTTAATTTTTATCATATTCCCCTCCTTTTCCTGCACGGCGGACTGCCAGGCACGATAATGAAGGCCCCTTAAGTCATATAATGTAAAGCGGAACAGACATAATATAATGATGTCAGGTACATCCTTTCGTTCCTCAGTATGGAATATTGTTCACCTCTTCCGCCAGAGTTGACAACCACCGCCACAACAAACTACAAACTATCACATCATCATCTATGCTCCCATGAAAAAAGTAGAATGAACGTCGAAAAAATATCATATATCGATATAATTGATTGTATATATCGATATTTTCAGCCGATATATCGATATAAGATATTCAATATTGAAAATCGTATCAAAAACAATATTTTTTCAAATTCGAATCTGGCACAGAGGCCGTAGGTGCCAAATACGACGGGATTTCTAGTGTATCGTAGCAGAATTTGGCAGATTTCAATTATTATTTACCTTATTATTTTTGAAATTCATTTGTACATATATATTAATATTTGTATTTAGAAAACTTATAATATTCTATGTCTTATTATTACTTTTATTTTTATGAAGTAGCAAATTATTTTTTGATGTGGCAATTTCGTCCCACATAGTACGGGTATTTCCCGATTAGGTATTGTAATATATCATTTCTAACTTTTTATGATTTTATACCTTTTGGCGTTTAATGTGTATAGTTGCTTTTCTTCCTGAATTTCCAAAACAAAAGAGAATCATGTTGTTGCATTTTGCAGAGCTTGATATTTTATCTGGATTTGGCTTATCTGTACTAATGATGTGTCATAGGTAAGCAGTTTCTTTTAAGAAACTCTGATTTGGAATTTCTACGCTGGAGATCGACTTGAGCGGTTGTAGGTTTTTGACGTACCCACGTGCTTAAGTTTATTTTCTGTAATTTATAATCAAATATTTCAGTTGTGTTTTGTGGTTGTGGTTTTATATTATTATTATTAGTGGGTAAGTGTTATTGTATTACATGTAATCGTTTTCAAGTACCATGTGTGATGCAGGAGATGATGATCCTGCTCCTGGTGGAGGTGGGGTCTTGTCCTCTGATGTAGACATGTCGGTCCCTATTACTGGTCAGTGTCCTACATCTAGTCGTCCTCTGAAAAGATCAGCGGATACATAAATCGCCAGTATCCCAAAGAAAAATATAACTCCATCTGCTTCTATTCAGGATTCATATACCAGGCCTGGTTTTGAACCTGATAAGAAAATTAGGTATGATGAATTTAGCCAAGGTCCTTTCACTGTCCATGTGTCTCGTATTGAAGCTCATCTTTCTGACGGGCTCTCTATTAAAATTATTAACTTTGATCAGCTATTGCATAAAAACAAAGTTACTGGTATTGTTTGTGATGGTATTAGGTAATTAATTATTAAGGCAAGGTATTAGGCCGCAATAAAATTTCTGTCCAATTCGAAAATTATATAGAAGCTAAGTCATTTATCCAGAACCCAATGTTACTCAAAAATAACTTCTCTGCAGAAGTCCCAAAGTTTTTAGTTTCTCGAATGGGTGTTGTCCGTCAAATCCCTTAAGACTGGACCCTCGAAGAGTTGGTTTCTGGTTTAGAGTGTTCCTCCAATTGTGGACCTGTGATAAAGGCCAGACGAATTTATATTAAAAATCGCCTTAATAATAATCCTAAGCCAACTTGGGAACCATCCACCACAGTAGTGTTGACCTTTCTAGGTCAAACCCTCCCTGAGAAAGTTTACTGTTTTCATGTTTCACTTCCAGTTTCCGTTTATCAACTTCCTACCATACAGTGTCATAATTGCTGTAGATTTGGACATGTTCGTGCCCAATGCAGATCTAAATCTAGATGCTTTAAATGTGCGCAACAACACCTTGGAGACTCCTGTACGGTATCTGATGCTTTGTGTCTTCTCTGCAGAGGACATCACAAAGCCACAGATCCTACATGTCCAGAACATACACGACAGAAGAACATTAAACACATAATGTCTCTAGAGAATATTAGTTAGTCTGAAGCATCAAGCCGCTTCCCTGTCTCTAGACAGTCATTTGCATGTACTTTGCTCCTCTCCAAGAAATTCTCTTGGTCCTTCCCTCTCCCAGTCAAATATTCCTACTCCCGCAAATTTTCACTGTCCTCTCCCTCCACAACAAACCATAGGTCCTCATATTTTAGTCATAAATCTCTTCCTCAGCATCCTCGTCCTAGATCGCCTCTAAGCCCATCTTATGATAAACGCGCCCACCTAGAAATTATTAGAACTCCCAAATCCTCTCAACCTAACGGTAGTGCTCTTGGGAGTGTTAGCCCTACTCCACACGTTACTCCTAATGATAATCTGATGGAGTTACTCACATGTAGTCTGATAAACATGATTTCAAAATTTAGTGACTCACTACCGAACAATGTCTTGCCCTTATTAGAACAGCTCCTAGATACAATTATAAAAAAAAAACCGTGACATTCAACACCCTTCAATGGAATTTTAGAAATGTGCGTCATATGAAGGCTGATTTAATATTTCGATTAAACAAATATGATCCTGTTGTTTGTGCTATTGCAGAGACTTGGTTGAGACCTGGCTCCAATTTTAGGATTCCAGGGTACTCATCCTTGCATCCTTGCATCAGATCGATGCTAAATCTAGAATGGAATATAATTATTATAACAAAAATTAGGAAACCGAATATTGGCGAGCTCCGATTGCATCCGTTGACGTCAATGCTCAAGTTCTGCTGAGTTGCGCCTCATGACACTGGAATGTATCGAAGCCACTGCTGTGTGGCTCTTAGGCTCTTTACTTATTCGGCTATGTTGTAACTAAAGCATAAATAAAATAATTAAATAAGGAGAATATAACCACTCCGCAGTGTTGCCAATTTAGGGCCTTTAGCCCCAAATTTAGGGCGGAAATATGCATATTGGGCATTTTTTAGGGTCAAAAAAATAAAAGACCTGTGGCACTCGAGGACTGCCGCGGTAAAGCTATTGTATAGCATTTTTTATTAACTTATACAATTATAATAATTTACTTATTTTTTACTTATGCAGTATTTTTTTTTTCTTTGATTAATTCACGTTACACTTTTTTAGTGTGGTGACCGATAATAAAACAATTTCTTGTCTTTTATTGAATAAATGAGATGTTAATATCGTTTAAAATATGTTTATTATCTTACAATACATGAAGGTTATACAGGAATTTTTATCATTGCAACTATAGGTTTATGGTAACTGAAATAAGAAACATAAGTTTGAGACTTGACATCTTCTAAATATCATATCATCATAGGATAATATAATATTATTATAATATCCATCCGTGCGAGCTTCGTACAGTCGTACCATATACATACACTTTAAGCGAACGCTCGGCCGAGCTACGTGGTAAGGGGAGTGGGGGTGTTAGGTTTTATTTTCATTACGGAATTTCTTGATTCGGTCGCCACGCTCAAAGCCCGCAATAAAAGCTATGCCAATAGCTTAAACACAATATCAATTAATCAAATGTTAATTAATATTGTATTGCTTTGATAATTAGTTCAACTATTTATAATGAAAAGTACTTATAAGTAAGTTATTATTTATTTGCCTTAACAAAACGTAAAAGTCATTTAAACAATATCTTTGAAGGGATTTTTTGCGGCTTTTGAAAATTACGTTTATGGTTATTGAAGGCTATTTCATCTTGATTTTAGGGCCTTTTTTTAGTTAGCAACACTGCCACTATGTTATAGACATGGACTTTTAGGGATCGGCAAGTAAAAATTATATACCATATATTTTATCGTACCGATATTTTGAAAAAGTATTAAAAATTGTCGAGTGAAAAATATCGATATCTCATTTGTTTTCGCATGAAGAATAGACATGAAGAAAATAGTTGAAAAGATTTTTTTTAAATTAACGACGTGACGAGAATGCAAAACATATCTAATAACATTAAACACGAAACCAGAATTGCGTTAAAAATATATCGAAATTGACACCAATTCGATAGTTTAAAATAAATATCGAATATTGATATGTCACGATAAAAATATTGACGATATATATCGATATTTTTTGCCATTGCCTATTGACAATTGTCGCGAGATACTCTGCCCTTTAAATTTGTTTTGGTTTGGCTTACCTGGGAAAAAACAGCACCCTTGCATAAGAAGTGAAATAATTGGGACTCGCTTTTCTAAAGGTTGATAACACATTTTAAAAGTAAAATTTAGGAGTTTGGTACTTACATTTTAACGCCACCACAGCAGCATAAGTTGTGTTTATGTGGTTAGGTTTTGTTTTGATTTTATAACTATTTATCTGGCCTAACCTAAACCGGAAAATCTGTAGCTGCAGTGGCGTTAATTATTAAAATATAACAGTTATGCAACTCAATTTATACCCATATTTAGTGTGATTGTGGTAAGTAGAAATCGATAATCTTACTTCCTCACTGAGTAGCAGGTTTTATATACAGCATGTCGTTACAACCGCAACAATAAATAAACAAATATATAGAGAAAAACTATTTAAAATTATATCAAAAATTTACATTCTTTAAATATCAATATTTACTGAGTAATTAAATTTTCCAAAACCAACAATTTTAGAACATTCTTACATATACAACTTTAACATAAAGTTCATTTGTAAAGGTCACAAAGCATATGAATGGGTTGAATGAATTTAATAGAGACAAAACATACTGTTAGAAGGAGAGGCTTGTAATGCGACGCTGTGGCGCGAGTTGTATAGTGTGTTACAAATTTTGTTTCTTTTTTACTTAATTAGTTTGTTTGAAAAACATTTTTTTTTAATTACAATAAAACATTCTGTTAGAAGTTTATATTTTTTTATGATTATTGGCAAGTAGCGTTTGACGTGTGTTCATTTATTGTCGCGGTTGTAACGACACACTGTATATTTAGTACGATAGAAACACTCACTATCAATATAAATATCACTAAGATTCAATTCCCGCCAAATAACACTACACACACAGTGCGAATACGAACACCATAGTTCATTCTCGCTTACGAGCAAAACCGTGTTCCAGAGCGGTTCTCACTGCTCACAGCCGACCAAGCACCTGCAACAGCCATCAGGGCCACAGTCCATACCGAACCTCGATAACCCGTAGGTGACACTCCTTAGTTAACATATGTATGAACACACCCACTATGGAGGGCCTCAAACATGGGTTCTATGTTCATCATCATCAATAAAATAAAAGAGTTAAGTTAGATTTTTAAGCATCATCATAAATGAAAGCTTAACACAATGGGAGTGGTTCAAGGATCGAAATAAGTGGTAATCCAATGGCGCGAGATCAGGGTTATATGGTGGGTGTAAATCAATTCCCAACAATTAACAACTTTGATTGAGAAATAATAAAGCGAAATTGTAAAAAACTAAATATTATAGGAACTCCTTTACAGTCAAGTGCTCAACAAATTCGTTTTGCGAAGACGCTAGACAAGTTTAAAAATGACGTAAAAAATCATTGTCTTACTTAGTTATCCATAGTTTTCATTGTCAATATTTGAATTTAATTCTTCTTTCCTGGATTTATTTATGTTATTTAAACATATAATAAGTATATTTATTCATGTTTATGTATCTTTATTATAATATAATAAGTTTATTTTAGTCTATTTTGGTAGTTTATTGAGCACATTATTATGTGCTCAATAAGAAGCTGCCCTACCACTATTCATTAGTTTATTTTTCTGTTGTCTGGAAGAGATTGCTTTTAAGCAATAAGAACACTGTATTACCTCGTTATTATCTCGACTTATTTTACTCTAATTATATTAAGTTCTTTGTTGGTGTACAATAAATTATATGTAAATAAATTAACATGGTAGAGCCCACATTATTTTGATGGTCCAATTGGCTGATTGGATAGTGAAACTATCTTTTGCCAGTGTGAGTTTGATCCCCACTATTAGAGAAAGTATTGTGAGATGAACATAGTATTTTTCTTGTGTCTCGGTGTTCCAATATCTATATTGTGATTTTATTTATAAAAGAAAAGCATGTTTATTAGTTTCCTACTGCTCATAATACCAGCTCTGCGTAATTTTAGACTAGAGAATTATGTATAAAAAGATGACTTGAAATATATTATTATAGTACTTATAATGTATATAGGATGATTTTATAGATGACGGACATATCAACAAAGCATATGCGGAATTTAATTCTAAATCTGAATTTGATACATACTTGTGAACTCATTTTTTTTTTCAAAGATTATTTTTAATTTTTTCAAACATTGTGGACACGATATTAGAAATTCCTGTCTCCGTCTCACTACAATTACCTTTATCAATACAAACACCTATTCACAAGCACTAAAACTTCGCTGAACGCATAATTATTAAACCGTTTATCAAGAGGATGACCACTCTTATCGGGATGAACAATGTTTGAATTGATATTTTTTCTGGTTATTTCTTGTCAAAATAAAATATTAATATTTTTTTGAAATAATGAATGCTCAATTAACATTATCTCAAAATATGTACTTCGTCTAAAAAAATCACCCTATATAATTTATGCAAAAACTTATTAAACTTCTCAATTGATGGTGACATTTTTAGGTCTGTTCATGTATCAAATTACCACAAAATGGTTGCTCTGCCTATGGATATACTAATGAAGTATAAAGTAAGCCAAGAAGAAGTTTTAAGAGAAATTGATAGTGAAAATATGAGAAATGTTGCTTTTGAAGTTGCCAGTAGAGCAAATAGTCACTTAGAAAAGGTAATATTTATTTGAAATAAACACTTGTTTATATCTACCTATATTATACTATCTATTCATTATTAATATCTGAACAACTTATTTACAATACGTCCCTTAGTTGAACTTCGTAAAATAAAAATATTCTCCATAAAAATGAAATTTTTTTTAAACTAAAACAGTTTCATAATTTTTTTTTAAACACACCCTTAAATTTGAATGTTGATTTATCATAACAAATCACAAAATTTATACAGAGAGGCTTTTTAAAGGTGCCCGAATTTACACAGGAGGTTCAGACTCGTTAGTATATTCGTTTATTACAATAAAAAACAAACTTTTTTTTTCCAAAAAATTGACATTCTATTCCCTAAAACAGAACTTGTTGACAATGCGGTAGTCATTCATAAATACCTAAATTTTACTATGCACACACACAAAACTAAAGGCTCGCGAGAAATCGAAGACGACCCGTGCCGGCACGGCGACGTCCAAAGCGTTGCGTCTAAAACTTCGTTCCCTTCCCTTTCATCCGCGCGCAGCGACCACTCTATGCGGCCGCTGCCCTTAGCCCTTTGTTAGTTTCAATTTGACCGTGACCTAATTAAGGTCGCGCGTGATATTTTTAGATTTGCTTATCTCTAACGATGTCGGAACAATAACGCTAACTGCGTTATTGTTGTTCCGACTAGTAACGAGTATTACGAGATGGTACGGTGCTACATTTTAATTGGTGAAAGTTTACGTGGTGCCCAAAGACTTTATGAAAGTGACTCTTTAAAGCGTTTACAAAGACAGACAATGAACTCAAGTGTACCTATCGGACGATTTTGGCAGCCAACCAAAGGCTATTAGATTTTGGATAGAAGTGGGCGATACAAATCGTATCAGATATGAAAACTAGATATTAGTACAATATCTGAATATCGCTTACTGGCTCGTTCAATATCTATGTATTTTATAATATCTGATATTTCCGAAATCTGATGTACCGTGCTCGCTCGCTATACCGACACGAATCGCAATATCATACGTGTTTGCCACAATATCTGATTTTTGAACAGATTTCGAGAGACAAAGCGCGTGAGATACAAATACTCACTAGTTAGAGAGGGACGGCAAGCAATGCACGATATCAGATTTCGAGCGACAAAGCGCGTGAGATATAAATACTCACTAGTTAGAGCGGGACGGCAAACAATGCACGATATCAGATTTTTAAACAGATTTTGAGCGGCAAAGCGCGTGAGATACAAATATTACACTAGTTAGAGCAGTACGGCAAGCAAGGCACAATATCAGATTTTTAAACAGATATTATGAATAAGTTAAGTAATTTTGAATCTTAAAAGTATATTTTTATTGTTTTGTTTAGCCTTGAGCCGTAACGGGCGACAAAGCGCGCAGTTAGGTAATTTTGAATCTTAACAGCATGGAAAGAAACATTTTTAGTTGCATTTAAATACGAATTACGGTATTAACGATGTCTTTAAATTTTGTTTAGCCTAGAGCTGGATTGCATTGGTACCTAGCACGTAATAGTAAGGGATGCCAACTTACTACTTAAGAATTTTCTGCCTAAATTAAGGAAGAAAAGGTCTCCCTTCCATGTCCTACTCCCTGCCTGTCCTAAGCCCTGACTTTCATCTTATCCGTAACGATCGCTTGAGTACTTCGCATGGCGGCGTAGCCATATATTTAAGAGCCCATATTCCTTACTCTATAGTCAGTTAATCTCCCCAGCCACCCCCTCCCAACTCAGCTGAGCATCTCCTTCTGGAAGTTACGCTGTCTCATACTAAAGTACTCCTCGGTGTATATTACAGTCCCTCTCTTAGAGTGAATTTATTCCCATCCTTTGAACAACTTCTTGAGGAGTATAGTCCGTCCGTCAGTCACACCATAATTATGGGTGACTTTAATTAATGCCTTCTTAAAAATGATATCCGTTCTCGCAGCCTCCGGTCCATTGTAAACTCCAATAATCTTCATATACTTCGTCTCAAGCCCACACATAACTTTCCTAAACACCTTCGCTTTTAGATTTGATAATCACTTCCTGACGAGACCATGACGCCAAACATGGACAATACGCTGCTGATGCCTTTTCCTACCATGATTTGATTTATTTTTTCGTATAAAATTCGTCCTCCTAAACCTAAGCCTCGTACCCTTTTTCTGCATAACTTCAAGGATATGGATCATGTTCGTCTTCTCGAAGACGCACGGAACATCGACTGGTCGGTGATTGATTGTGCTGAGACTGTGCGCGATCAAGTGGTGCGATTTACCTCCATCATTACACAATTGTACGATGTTCGTGCTTCTGTACGCGCCATTCGTGTTAAACACATTCCTGCTCCATGGTTAACGCATGACATCAAATCACTTATGCAGAAGAAGTTGAGGGCCAAGAGTAAGTAAAAGTGACCCATACGATCGGAATCGGGATAGATATCATTCGGCGAGGAATCGTTGCAACACGGTGGTTAGGGATGCTCAAAGACGCTATATTCACGAAAATGTAATTAATGGTGATCCCGCCAAAGTGTGGAAGTTTCTTGGTGCATTGGGTGTTGGCCGTAAATCACGTGTTATTTCTACTGCTAAGTATGTAAACCTTGACGCATTAAATTCACATTTCTCTTCAATCTCCCCTCTTAACAATAATACAAAGATAAAAACGCTGAATTATTAAATACAATATTCCTCATTTTTCATTTCGTCAATTTTCCGTTTGTGACGTCAAGAAGAGGATATTGTCCATCTCAAATGCCATCGGAAACGATAGTATTAGTCGAAATATGATTATTCCTATCCTAGACATCGTCACTCCTGTCGTCACCAAAATCGAGTCTACGATCTTCTTAACCCTTTCCAATCTGGCTTCCGTTCCGGCTATAGTACGACTACTGCTTCTCATAAAGATCTCTGATGATATTCGCTGGGGCATGAATAATCAGCAGCTTACAGTACTAGTGTTACTTGATTTCAGTAATGCTTTCAATACTCTGACTTTGACATCTTACTGGGGATGCTGCGTTCTCTTAACATACCTCCAACGGCTATTGACTGTTTTAGTAGTTACCTGTATGGGCGCAAGCATCGTGTTAAGATTGAAGATATCTTTCTCCTGGCGTGATACACGTGCAGGCGTACCGCAGGGTGGCGTTTTTTCCCCTATACTCTTCACGATCTTCATAAACAATTTAACTCATTCTTTAACATCTTCGTACCACCTGTATGCAGACGACCTCCAAATTTACTCACAGGCACCATTGCGTATAAACCACGCACTTTTTGAGATATGTTCAAATGAATGTATTTATGGTAATTAATTACGAGTGATTTTAAATATTTAACATTTTTTATACAACAGTATTTATATCTAGAATTTAATTAAAAAAATGGATACACACAGAAAAGCCTCCCTGTACAATATATCATCATTTCATATAGTATTAGGTTCGCTCTTCGACCAAACAAAATACCCTTTTAATACAAATGAATTAAAAAAATTAAGTTAATCGAAATCGAATAATGTACTCATAACTTTTCCATTTAAATTACCTCGAAAACCAAGTGTTTAAAAAAAAGAATGACCAAGTAGTTTTTCTGTTGTTATAATCCTTTACTAATAATCTAATATATAAAATTCTCGTGTCACGGTGTTTGTAATAGAACTCCTCCGATAAGGCTCGACCGATTTTCTTGTGCATATCGGCCAGGATGAAGAATCGGACAACATCTATTTTTCATCCCCCTACATGTTAAGGGTGGTCCACCTAAACATTTTTTTCTACCCTACAAATAATTTATATGGCAAAACGTTTGATGGTTATTTTATAATAATTTACTTTTGTTTCAGGCACGGCGAATTAACGTACCGATAATAGCGAATCAAATCTTTTTACCTGCAATTGCAGTTGATACTTTTTTAGTTAAACTGCAAAAGAATAATTTCAACTTGTTTGAAAAATCATTGCATCATGGTAGTACAACTTTGCCATTCAAACTATACTATAAGAGACTCTTGAATAAATACTAATTATTGCTGTTATTAGTTTTATTTTAGTTAAGTATTACTTTGGTTGAGAGCTGTGATAGCTCAGGGCGCTCGCCTTTAATAATCGCGTTAATTACATTTAGTCGAACAACCAGAGTTCGATCTCCGGTGCCAACACCAATGAAGTTTTAAGTCCTGAATTATTACGTACTCGGCGGTGAAGGAAATCATCGTGAGGAAACCTGCATTTTTTGGAAATAATAATAAAAAAAAATATTTCGAAAATATGTGAACTCTGCCAATCCACAGTGGGGTCGTGTAGTGGACTATGTTCTTATACCCTTTGTACAGAGGAGGCCTTTGCCCGGCAGTGGGACATTTATAGGCTGTTTCTTTACTTTTTGGTTTACAGCCAAAATGCTTTATTAACTAAATGCAACAATCGATACAGTTCAAGCTTTGCCAAGCATTAGGTCGCATAATACATCAAAAATATTCAATATCACTATCAGGTTATTGCTCCAGATTTAGATGTCTGGCCCAAAAGAGGTTTGGCTTTCATGTTGCAGTAGTTGCCGATATTCATGTTTCATTGCAAGTAATTGACAGACGATTGAATAATTGTTGAAAAATCACAAACATTACACAAAGCATGTCTATCAAATCTAAAACAACAGGTTCTTAAAAAATAAAACAAGAATATTCTTAATACTACATGAACATTAACCCGTTACTCCCAAAAGAATGCTGTTTATAAATGGAATAATGAGAAATAAAACAACTTCAAAGAAACAATTGCACTGTTTACTCATAAGCTTTTTCATGCAAATAAATAATCACATACAAGATTCAAGCAACATGTTTGGCACAATGAGTACCTTATAATACCATACATATTTATTAACATATATAACTAGAGACAGATGTTTTTCATTCATTCACACCATTTATTGACATTATTCGTGTATATTTAACATTAAGTCAAAGGTAAAGCTTATCATTATTTAGACCATCGTATATAAAACATCTTTAAAATGCATGTAATACTAGTAAGGCGAAAGTGCATTTCATGAAAACTTTGGCTAAATTATAAAAACATTCTTTGGTTAACCCAATTCAATTGTGATATGCAAAACCTTACTTGCATGAGAAGTGCTTATATTATACATAAATAATGAGCAAAGACAATTATTCAAATATATCTTAGTGTTTGCAAATAATAAATATTAGGGACTCTTTAATTGTAAAACAATGTTCAGTATGTAAAAAAATATCACCAACCTGTATAGTGTATATTGCTAACATCAAACTGCTTCAAACTAAAACATACTACAATAAAGTTCATTGATTCACTGATCAAGTTGAATGATACATTATAGTATAAACTGACCTCTAAAAAAACAATTATTATCCCAGACAGATTATTCAAATTTAATATTGGCATTTATCCTTTCATCGATGATTGTAAAATAACAGTGAACAAGGTAAGAGCTTATAATAATCTTAGCACCTTACTGATTGTTACAAGCTTATTTGCTAAGATGTGTTTTAATGCAATAAACAACCAAACATTACACTTATAAAAATGTGCTGCATATATTCACATAAAAATGTTAAATTAACTCAATACAATCTGAGAATTCCTATGAAATGTAAGATCACACCTCTACACCTCTACACCTTCATCATCATAATTTGATATAAAAATGATTCACTTTATTTTACTATAATTCTTACAGATCATTTAAGGAACACAGCCAAAAATAAATTTAACAATGTAAATAAATAATAATTTGGAATGTTTTAAGTTAACATAATAATAATAACTAAAGTTACTCAGCTGCTTAAGTCTAAGGTAAAAAAAGCTAAAAGTAAGTACTACAATACCATCACAATGAGCTTTCTGCATAATGAAAAAAGAATCAGAAACACTAAATAATGTTATTCAGAGGGTGTTAAATCTTTCTCCGGTTCCCCCTCTGACAAAATTTGTTGTAGGAGATCATAAATAGGCTCAAATGCTTTTCGACAAGCAGTATTTGTAGGTATAAGATAGTCATGCATATCATGATGACTAATAGTGCCATCACTTTGGATAAACCCTTTATCTATGAAGACCATTTCAACTTTATTCATATTCATAACCTTTTCACGTAAAAGTTGGTTAATCCTGCTATTTTTTTCTCTTAAACAATTAGGATGTTGGCCGCGAGGTAGCAGACTCTGTAACATTTTAATAACTTTAATAAATTGACACATGTAGACAGTATTTGTCTTTTGATGTAATACTTACAGGTAACACTATGTATGCATTAGGATGCTTTTCCCTAATTGCTCTAACTATTTCAAGAATACCTTCACAGATTTGTTCAGCGGAGTTGTCAACATTGTTTGTGCCAACATGTAGCACAATTACCTATAAAAAGAGGAATATATCATGAGCAAGATTCATTTTTTGTAGTAAAATATTTCATTCAGATTATGGTTTGCCTCACCTTTGGGTCAACATGATCAAGTTCACCATTTTTAATACGCCATAAAACATTTTGAGTCTGATCTCTATGAATACTAAAATTAAGACAATGGAGAGGAGCAAACCATTGGTTCCAAACTTCAGTGTGTTCCAAAGCTTGTAATATTGAATCACCTATAAAGACTACATCAGCTTCTTTTCCCTTTGCATCAGATAAAAATCTGTTATGCTAAAAAGGTAAAAAAATGAAATTTTATCAGCTTACAATATACTGACTGCAAATATCAAAACAAAATACAGTTTTCATTAAATGGTCTGTTGCACTTATAATACGAAATTAATTAACCGCATCCTACGGATACTTGCATTGCAAACACCACGTAGTTAATTAGATGGTGAAAAACAAGAGAAACTTACGATGCTGTTCCAGCGTCCATCTCCTTCAATGTCATGCTGTGGAGCAGCCTCTGAACATGGATTCATGCTGCAATTTAGAATTTCTGGAAAAATAAATTTTCTGACTATTCGAGAATTTAAAACGATTAATTAAAATAAGCTTTTCTGCTTGTCAGAGCAAAAAGTATGCATACCTGCAAGTATAAGTATATAACTTTTAAATCTAAAAATAAAAGATAAATAAAAACTTCTTTTTAATAAAATAACAAAGTATTTTGTTGTACCTATAATTTAAAGTAGAAAACTCAGCACGTTCATTTTCTTTGGTCATGTCTGTGGTTGTTTTCGATAATCCAGACTCAAAATTGCAAAAATTTCTTAAACATTATGAAAAATCGTTTATAGTGAGTATATACTACTTCTGCTAGTTAAATTAAGATTTATTATTTATAAATACATTATAGTTTTTATTTTCCAACATAAAATAACGCAGAGTCCCTCCGTGCGGAAGAAGTGAAACTTCGTTGAACGTTTATTGCAACTTCGCAACAGTACTTTCATATCCCCTCCATGGTAGCGTTAAACGTTTAACGCAATATTGTTGAAGTCGCATTAGAAGTTTCACTTCAAAAATAAAAACAAGTATCCATATATAACATGCAACGTCTGCAACTACTCGGGTGTTGTTGATAACCAGTGACGGTGACAGAACCGCGGAGACGCCCCTAACTTGCAGCCCCGCTTGGTTGACCGTTTGTCTCTGGTGACTTCACGCGTATTTTAAGTGTTGTTAGGTGCGTTCCAGTGTTCCTGAACTGTTAGCTTGTGTGGTGTTTTCTTATTTCTGTCGCGATTAACGCCCGGATGGAGTGTCTTGTCTTAGATTTCACAATTGAAGCGCGCCATACCTATCCACTGCCATCGATACGACTCGAATTATTGGGGGGTACTCTATAGCTTCGCGCTCATGCTCCGCCCGCACCATACGCAGACTTTAAAGACGGTGTGCTCGACGAAAGTGCACCCCCAATCCATTAGTCGTAAGTACCATCACCTAAAGACCCCCACCACTAGGTACGTTCCGCCACAGTTGGCGTAGACCGCGACACGTTCTCAACTTCCCTGACGATGAAACGACTATTGCCATCGACAGGATACGCTAAACAGTTACGAAAACATACAAGAATACAACATATACTAGGTTCCACCACGTATCTGGTAGGTTTTCCCCAGTTAATTATAGAAGCTGTGGCGGATGAAAACAACCGCCGCGTCTATTTTAAATTTAGCGCGCAAAAGCGCGCGACACGCGGTTTGCAAACGAGTCGCCTCTGATTGGTCGGCGACCGGGGAGTTACCTCTGACTCGAGACTCGCCGTTGAGAAGACAACGGTCTATTTGCTTTGTTAACAATAACATTATTTTAAGGGTGAAAATATTGTGAACATATCTAAAGTTCTTCTAATGTAAATACAATTAATAGTGAGCACATTTGTGAGTTTTATTTAATGGCATTCCGCATTATATCATGCCATAAAGCTTTGCTGGAGTTTCAGTTCCAGTGCCAACGCTTTCCGAAGTTGTAGTAATGATATATCTAGAAATTCTTCCAGTCAGATTATAGCTACGGTCGAGCCGAGGGGCGGCCCTCTTAGACACACCAAGCCCCCTCTCGGGGGCCCTTGAGCTTAGTCACCATAAAGCGTAAAAGAGGTTCAGGCTAGGCGCTCCGAGTGTCCTGCCACCTCAAGTCCGACGGATCTGTAAAGGCTCCTAAGGGCAACAGTGGTATATTATGCAAAAAAAAAAAACAATTTAGACTATAAATAGCTTCCAAGGATTACTTACATAAACAGGTCACTTTTAATGAGATCTAATGTAATATAACAACATTTCTTAAACATCTGAGCCGTGTTGGACATAGTGTTAAAAGCAATGATATTCTATAAGGGCACGAAAACTTTCCAACTGAAATTATCGTTTTTAGTTCACTATAAGTCTGATTTACAGTGGTCAATTGCTTAGTACAGTAATCAAGCATAGTGAGTAATTAGTGTAAACCGTTAGACAGTGGCGATCGAACAAGTTTACTTGGCGTGGCTTGCAAGCTACCTTGCAATTTGACCAAAGAGAAAGGTTTTTTATTTATTCGTGCACTCCTCGCGCGCCGGTTAACCCCCACGAGGCACTTCACTTGTCACTTGCCGTAGTGTAAACAGTCAAATTAGTATAGTGGCCGGCGATAGACAACAAAATTGTACCTATTGCTCATAGATTTTGACAGAGAAATGCCACTGCCCTTGAACAATATAAAAGGCAGGGCGGCGAGTAAGACGCGATGTCAAAAATTTTAGCATAAAAATGCCGTCATGTGTTTTTAGAGTTGTACCAAGTACGACTCTTTATGTTGACAAATAAAAAGGATCAGACATCATGTACATAATGAAATATATCTTCGATTTATAAGTACTTATTTTTAAATTATTTTCCTAATATTTTAAAATAAAAGTTTTTTTTAACAAAACAAGAACCGACTTCAAAAAACTCTATTAGCACTAAAAAGTTTAAAATAATACTAAATCTAATATAATTAAATCTTGAAAATCTAAGCTATATAACTTAACCTATATAGCCTACCTAACCTTTAACAAAAGTTAACAATTTCTGGAGTCGGTGCCAAGCCGTGTCTCTAATTTGAGCATAAAATCATTCTCTTAATTTTGTTACACAATTTAGGTAGATACGTAATTAAATACATATAACTATCTTTTAACTTATTTATTAGATAACCGCATTATTAACTGTTACCTATTCTTTCTATTTTTTGTTATGTAGAATGTATGACGAAAATCAAGAAAATTTACAATAGACTTCTTAGTTCAATTCGCACTCGTTTGACTATGCTTGCTCGAGTGGTAGGATTTTCTCATCAATACAGATTTCTGCTTTGCGACTTAGTAACTAAGATATTGTAATTCTGATACATTAGCGGCCGGTTTTCTATATTCTATCTACACATAGATTTAGTTACTGGACGTAGAATTTTTGACTTAAGTAATATGGAGCTAATGTTACATCACTAGTAACGAAATCTATATGTAGATAGAATATTGAATTCGGCCGTTAGTCTTAGTGGCATTTAAAACTAAATTATTGGTTGCAAACCAGCTCCACACAACATCTAATATTTTTTGGTTAGGTGGTTGGTTGGTTAGGTATTTGGTTGATCTAGTGTTTCATCAATCAACTTTAAACAATAGTGAAGTGTCATCCGCCAACAAGACTATTTGAGACATTTTTTTATATCACATATGGAAAATCATTTATATAAACTCAAAACATAAATGGACCCAGGATCGATCCCTGAGGAACACCCATTTTTAATACTCACCCTGATGTCAATAGACATTTATACATCGATATTTAGTGATAGAACCATGTTAGAGAATCCGCGTAAAACAAAAAGAAATTTTTTCAAAGCTGATTATGTAGCTATAACAAAATACCTAAATATCATTAACTGGGAAAACATCTTCAGCGATTGCAGTACCATAGTCAAATGGTAGAAATTTGACTTATGGTACTGCAATTTTCTATGAGGAAAAAGCGCTGCCACTCCAATCTGGTTAAATCGTAGTTTTTCAAATCGCCTTAAAGAAAAACATCGTTTTTTGAAATATAAAAATTCGTTAGACAAGATTGAATTAAATCTATTAAGGCCGAACATCATCCCAACCCTCTGGTGGTAAGCGCAGCAGTTTACCAACCCGACACAAACGCGAACGTCAACAAGCGTCGCCCGCGAAACGTCCTCATCGACCCGGTCGAGCCGGGGGTAACCCACCGCCGGGGGTCTCGCCGGATAGCACTACACCTACAGTTAGTGCAACAACAAAACACACTAGTTCACCCTCGCCTCAGAGCACGGCGAGACCAACACAACGCGTACACAAGGTACACCCGCGTTCCGGGGCGGTTCTCACCGCTCCCAGCCACCGATTAGCTAATTACACAGTCGACGGCCATCGGGGTTTCGGTTCGAACCGCGACCTCGATGGCCCTTAGATGACACATCATAGTTAAACGCACGCATGTGGCGTGGCCCTACCAACAGCGGAGGGCCCAAACCGGTGGGGCTAGCCCACCGGTTCTGCGTCAGATGAAGCTTTAATAGTCTCGGGACTGAAAGCAAAAACATCAGTTAATACAAGATACAAGCAATCTATTAAGCAAGCGATTTAAAAAGAAAGAAAGAAAGATATTGATGATGGGATTAAGACGAATCCTAAAATGAATCCCAAAAAAAAAAAAAAAAACAAAATAAAAGCAAAGGGCCAAACAGAATTCAATGATGGCTTTAATGACGTCAATACTGGCCCAGATATTTATGTAATTCATTTGCATAATACTTTTCATCTTTGTGGGAAAATTGCCGGAATTTAAGAAATAAAAGATTAACGTGATGAAGGCGTATAATGTGAAAACGAAATGAAACTAACTAACATAGGTCGGTAGTCGGAAAAACATAACGTCTCTTTACTTTACATAAAGTTACAATAATTAGGTACTCTAATGCACGTAAGTTTGCTACTAAATTACGACAGGCGTTAACATGCCCCCGGGCTTTGAAAGCACCACTCTCAACAGATAATGGACAGATTTTGCTAAACGCACGTCGAATTATTCCAGCAGACGTCTTGATATCCGCCACACGACTGATATTATCGGATCCGGGATGAACCGCAACAACTCGGCCCAACTTCCGTTTCAAAAGTGGAGGGGTATCTTCTTTTAACAGGACAAGGGAATTCAATTTAAGATCGTTGTTGCTGGATCGCCATTTCATTCGTTGCTGGAGCTCTGAAACGTATTCTTTACACCATCTGCTCCAAAAATGTTCGCGTAATTGCTCAATCCGTTGAAAACGTGTTAATCTGTTCGTGGAATGGGATTGATAATCTCAGTTCGGCAACGCGGTGAGTGGCCGGCCTATGAGAAAATGTCCAGGTATTAGTGGCATTAGATCATCCGGATCCGATGACATTGGTGTGAGTGGTCTTGAGTTGAGTATTGCTTCAATTTGCACCAGTGTAGTGTTAAGCTCTTCATAAGTGAGATTACAATTTCCCAGCACTCTTAGCAAATGAAATTTTGTTGACTTAACCTTGCGGACCGAAATGCGGAGAATATGCAATAAAATGGAAAGTTCTTTTCTTTTTCTTTTTTTTTTCTTTTTTTTTAAACAAAAACACTGCCCTTACTTTAGGATAATATTATCCTGTGTTGTAAAGGACGTTTTACAAACATAAATTTCACGCGGACAAACACCCA